AACGCACACACACCTCCACCCTCCCCTCCCAAACAGCCCCCCCCCAAACCTTCAATGGCGAAGGGTTTGCCCACTGTGAGCAGTTTGCAGTCAGAGTCGATGGACACCTCATAGTCCAGCAGTGACTTGTCCATGATGAAGGCGTTGAGCTTGGGGGGCTCTGTCCTGCACCAGCACACGGACACCCTCAGGGTGGGGGCTTCTCCCTGCCTTCCCTGGGGACCCCTCAAGCTGTCACCCCACCCTGGGGTGGGGGGACATGGGGGTGTAGGTCGGGGGTGCAGAGGCTGCAGGGACAAGGCAATGCCCTGGGAAGGGCAAAAGGGGGGACACCCCCCACACACCCCTTGTCCTCCCCACCCCTCACTTGAGCATGGTGACGCCGGCGGGGGTGGTGGGGACATTGTAGCGCCGCATCCAGCACCCACCCCACCCTGCGTATACACACCCAAACGCACACACACGTACACCCTCCCCTCCCAAACAGCCCCCCCCAAACCTTCAATGGCGAAGGGTTTGCCCACTGTGAGCAGTTTGCAGTCAGAGTCGATGGACACCTCATAGTCCAGCAGTGACTTGTCCATGATGAAGGCGTTGAGCTTGGGGGGCTCTGTCCTGCACCAGCACACGGACACCCTCAGGGTGGGGGCTTCTCCCTGCCTTCCCTGGGGACCCCTCAAGCTGTCACCCCACCCTGGGGTGGGGGGACATGGGGGTGTAGCTCGGGGGTGCAGAGGCTGCAGGGACAAGGCAATGCCCTGGGAAGGGCAAAAGGGGGGACACCCCCCACACACCCCTTGTCCTCCCCACCCCTCACTTGAGCATGGTGACGCCGGCGGGGGTGGTGGGGACATTGTAGCGCCGCATGTACTCGTGCATCTCAGGGAAGCTCTTCTTGATGTACTCCTCAGCACTGCTCTCCCAGACGGTGCCAAAGCGGAAGCCCTGCGAGGGGTGATGCAGCTGGAAGGAGGCACCAGAGCATCAGCACCCCCAGCCCAACCCCTGCCTCAGCTCACCCCCTCGGACACAGCCCAGACACATTCCTACCTTTGGGTCATGGATGCCTGAGAGCTCCTCGAAGGTCTTGTCCCCCACCATGACAGCTGCCAGGTTGGCTGTGTAGCTGGAGAGCACCAGGAGGCAGAAGATGGCCCAGAGGTTCATGAGGAAGCGGCCAGTGCAGCACTTGGGCGTCTTGCTGGACACGGTGCGCCCAAAGAGGATGGCATAGCACAGGTTGAGGGCTGAGGAGTAGGAGAAGATCTTCATGCGGTTGCGGCCGTGGGGGGTCATGCCATAAGGGCTCTTCCACTCGTAGAGGGTGAGGAAGAGTGCTGTCGTGTGCAGGGCCACGAAGATGCCCACCCACATGGTCCAGTGCAAGGGCCACATGAATGCCCCAATAGGTGATGCCGTGTCCTTGGTCCTCACCAAGATGCCCAGGCTGGTGGAGAAGAAGGGGCTGGTGAAGTCAATGACTTTGCTCCGTGCTGAGTTGATGCTGAAGGAGGTGACAGCCATGTGGGCTGTGCCACTGAGCAGGTCCCCCACCAGCCCCGTCCAGCGCCCGTTCTTCCAGGCCCCATATTTCCCATCACCCACGATGTAGAGCTCAAAATCAAAGGCCATGTCCTCAGCCAGCTTCTCCAGCAGGTCAATGCAGTACCCATAGCAGCACTTCTTGTACTCCTGTGGCACTGAGCCATTCTCTGTGCTGAGCTCCTCGAAGAGGGCGTCCAGCACAGCTGAGTCGTTGGTGCCGGGGTCCAGGCAGAGCTGCCCCGCGGGGCAGACCCCGTCCTCATCTGCCTCCCTGGTGAAGACGAAGGGGTGCTCCACCAGTGTCACCACCCGCAGCCTGGCGCGGGGCCCCTCGCCCGGGCTCTGCCGCTGCCGGGGGCTCTGCCAGGCGCCCTCCTCCAGCCGCAGGGTGCTGCGGTGCCAGGTGCCCACGGTCACCCAGGTGGGCTCCCCCCGCGAGTCCCGCCGCAGGCTCCAGATGCGGTACAGCCGCTCTGGACGCACCAGCGTCCCGTTCTCCACGTGCAGGGGCCCCGTCCGGCCCTGGAAGGACGTGTTGGCCATGAACCTGGTGGGGAGGAGGGGGTCACAGCTCCACGTCATCAGGGCTGCAGCTGCAGGGAGTGAGAAACCAAGGGACAAGGGCAGGAGGTGCTGGGGTTGGGCAGGATGTGGCCCTGCTGCCCCGCAGCTCGCTGTGCTGCCAGTGCCCAGCATTATTAATATGTATAGAGAAACCGTGCTCAGGCAGCCCTAGGGAGAGCTGAAGTGACACGTCCCCCCCTGTGCAACCGGCACAAACCGTGTCCAAGGGGAGCAGCCGGGAGCGGGGCTGAGCCCCACGGTGGCAGCTGCTCACACCAGGGGCTGCGCTGGGCTCTGCACGCTCACCCCTGCCCTTGTCCCATCCCCTTGGGCACAGACCCCTCCCCTACCCTGTGCACCCTGACAAGATGGAGCTGGGGAAGGGGAAAGGGGCACCCATGGCACCGTCCTTACCTGGAGAGGAAGAGTCCTGTGTTCTCCCCGCCCGCCTGGCGCCGGTCGCTGCAGGTCACAGGCCTTGGCTGCAGCGCCAGGTCGGGGCGGGCGCGGGCGGCGCTGGCGATGGCCCGGGACACCAACCCCACCGCGTCCTGCACCAGCAGCTCCAGCGGCGCCCGGCCCACCTCGCCGTAGGCCAACAGCCCCAGGGGCAGCCCCTCGGTCTGCAGCTCATCAGCACTGAGCGGGGACCCCAGCATCCAGTGAGACTCCTGAGGCAGCAGCCCCGACTCCTCGGCTGCCTGGAAGATGAGCCGAGCGCGCCGCAGATCACAGCCAAGCACCAGCACGGGGCTGGAGAGGGCCCTGAAGTGCTCCCGGTGCTGCTGGAGGGAGCTGGTAGCCCCAGGCTCCTTCAGGTTGCCAAGGTCAAGGACGGTGCGGAGGAAGAGCCGGGAGCGGTGGGACCAGAGGCTGAGGAAGCCGGAGACGTCCCAGGGGTGGCAGAGCACGAGGTTGGTCTCCTGCCAGTCGCTGGCCTGCAGGACACTCACCAGCACGTCCACCAGTGTCTCCAGTGAGCTCTGCCGCTCCATGTGGAAGTGGAAAGGGCTCTGCCAACCAGAGGGGTGGTGGCTGTCCCCCTACCCCACTCTTGCCCATGGGAAGGGCCTGGACACAAGCAGCAGGCAGGGTCCCTCCTGCCCAAAGCCTGTGCTCCCTGCCTACCCTCAGCTCCATCCCACCCTGGGAAGACAGTTTCCCCCACCCAGCACTGGCCACACACCCATCCATGAGCGGAGGGATGTTCAGGGACCAAAGGAAGAGCCTAAGGGGGAGTCTCCATGGGATCCCCTGGCTGGACTGGCAAGGAGGCTCATGAGTAGCCCAGGGATGGGCTGTGCCTCCCCCTGCCCATGCCAGGTGACTTCCAGCTCCCATTCAGGCGCTGCTGACACGTGCCAAGGACAAACCACTTAGCACAGGAGACAGAGCAGGTGGAACCCACGTCCCTGGGGAGAGGCTGGTGGAACAAGGGCTGCTGGGTCCTGACATGTGCCAGGAGTCACCTCTACCCAGCTGCACGTGAACCCGTGCGGAGCCAGTCTGTCCCCAAAAGGGACCAGCCAATGGAAAGCAGAGGGACAATTCCAGCCTCAAGGACACAGGGCTGGGACAGGGCTCAGCTTGGCTGTGAAATGTGCCCCTGGCACACACAGATGTCACTGCTGGGACAGTGGAGCTGACCAGGCTGGCAGAAGAGACAGAGGATTCAGCACCAGGGTATGTCCCCGGAGTCCTTCTGGGACTAAACTGGGGCTGGGGGTTGTGAGGCTGCTGGAGGAGCCCTGGAAGTTGCCTTGGAGTGGGATGGGGCTGGGACAGAGCCTGGCTGGGGCCAGGAGAGACATGAGATGGAGGCTGGGATAGAGCCAGGACGGGGCTGGAATGAGGGCCAGGAGGGGGCTGGGATAAAGCTGTGATGGGGGTTTAGGATAGAGCCAGAATGGTGATGGGATGGACTGAGATGAGAGCCGGGATGGAGCCAGGACAAAGCTCAGAATGGAGGTAGGATGGAGCCAGGATGGAACAGGGAGTTGTGATGCAGTGAGGATGAGGGGCTGGGATAGAGCCGGGATTGGAGCTGGGATGGGGATTGGGACAGGAGTCGGGTCGGGAGCCAGGATAGGAGCTTGGGGGAATCCTTGGGATAGAGCCGAGACTGGAACCAACATGAGGATCGGGGCTGGCACAGGGATGGAGCCGGGACGGCAGGAAGCGAGGGGAGCAGGTCGGAGCGCGGGAGCAGCGCTGAGGTGTGTCCGGCCGGTGTGGGAAGCAGAGCAGGTGTGGGAGCGGTGCTGGAACGGTGCGGGAACAGGTGCAAGTGCGTGCGCGTTGCGGGTCTCACCTGGGAGCGGAAGGGCAGCGGCCCGCGGGTGTCCAAGACGCTGACGAAGGGGATCTGGAGGGCGGCGGCGAGGAAATCGAGCTGCAGCAGCTCCCGGCGAGATCGGGG